TACGACAATCTGCCATGGAGAGAAACGCGAGAGCAAGGCATTGAGACGCCTAATTGAAGGGTTGGGTCCATCGCGTTTGCCTGTGACGAGGAAATAGAGCCAGAAGAGGATGACTGAAAAGATCTGGGCTCTCTTGAGCGAGGTCGAAGGTCGACCTAGGAGATGATCGATCATGGTGATGCTATTTCATTATGGGGCATATAGCACAAGGAAGGTTATGTGCTATCGTCGTAGGCTGGAGATGGTGGATCGCGAGTGACTCTGTGTGTCGAGGGAAGAAAGAGACCCGAAGCAAGCCTGGACGTTGGCTTGCGATACTGTACATGAGGCTATGTTTCAGCTTTGTGGTTCAGGCAGGGTTCAACACGGGATGAAAAACGGTGCTTGTGTGGTGTGTGTGTGTTGGTGTGTGTTGGTGTGTGTTTCTGTGCGTGAAAGCCTTGCTGAGCAACGAACAGCTCAGATAGCTTAGCGACTTGCATTTGTTCTTTTTTGTGTATGTCTCGCCTCTTTCACGCATCAATTCCTGTGGCCAGCAAGACTGAAAATGCGCCGAGTCTGCACCATGTTTTCTGTTTCTCTTTCGCTTGAAATTACGCAACTGCATGCGGCCGATAAAAAAAAAAAAAAAAAAGAAACGAAAATTCTTTTATCAACTATTACTCCTTGTTAGAGATAACATCGTCTTGATAAGACTCAATATCAACTTCTGCGGTCTGGATGAGTTAACCATCAGAAATGCTTCAAGTTACGAGGAGACGCATAACTCATCTTTCACCACAATCAGAGTGGATTGTGCACAAGCTCTGGCCAGTTCCCTGAAATATGTGTGTTATTGTTAAGTATATACCACTATTTACAAAAGCAGCTTAATCGCGAGAGCAATGTGTTGAAGACCACGAGAGAAGGTAGTGTTTTCCCTTCTTCTCAGATTCGTCAACTCTCTAAGACCAAACATCGAGCAACAACCTCGACCTCTCCTTGAGAAGTTTCATCTCTTTCTTGCCCTCCTCTGCGCTTCCTTTAGCCTCTTCCAGAATCTTACCAAACACGGCCTCGACATCATGAGCCATTCCTTTGGCCTCTCCACAAATGTAAATGTACGCCTTACGTTCCAAAATGTCCTCAGCAATCTGCTTGCGCTTCTCCCAGATAAGATCCTGCACGTATATCTTGCCCCCATCTGCCTTGAACTTTTCACGCGAGAGCGAAGTTTCCATCAAGAACTTGCCTCCGAGCTTCTCAGCGTACTGCGGCCACTCGTCGCGGTAAAGGAAGTCTTCATCTGCCTTACGACACCCGTAGAAGAGCCAAATGTTGCCCCAGTCCTTGAGCACCTCCTCGGCGCTCTTGCCATTCGCTTTCTCGAGCGCTTTCTCGGCCGAACAAACGCGGTCCTGCACAAACGATCGGAAGGGCGCAACACCGGTTCCGGGACCCACCATGATGACGGGGATCTTGGGACTGGTGGGCAGACGGAAGTTCGACCTTCGGATGTGAATAGGAACTCGGAATTGGCCGTCCTTGTTGTAAGCACCACGAGGTCCACTCAGCAGGTACTTTGGGGTTCCAAACCTCGGATCATTGGGTCCTGCAGGCTTCTCGCCATTCTTTTCCATCTTGATCGTGCTGATAAAATTGGTCGCAAGCCCATGCACCCAAGGTCCTGACTTGGTTGCCTGGTAACGCAGAACGACCGCGGAAATGTGCACCGACTTGGGGTGCATCTTCGGGCTCGAAGAAATCGAGTAGAAACGAGGTCCAACGCGAGGGAGGTCAGAGAGGACACGATCGAAAGGAATGTTCCAAGGCTTGATCGAGCTGACGTCGGCTTGAAGGTCGTCACCAGCCACCCACTGCATGGCTTCGGCGGTCTTGAGGCATCGAGATCCGATCTCGGTCTGGAACGAGTCCTTGCTCGCGCAGATCTTCTCGAGCTTGGACTGAATCTCGGGCGAAGGAGCAAACTTGGCAAAGCTGGTGAGCGTCTGACGCGAGGCGTGCGAGGTGATGTCAATGTAGTGGCGGAAGACGGCTTCGTATGTGGTGGGCACGGGAAAAGGTACTTTGGCGAGCGTGGGGTCAAGCGACTCGACGTCGATCACCGCGGTGCGCTTGTCAAGAAGACCCAAGACTGCGAGAACACGATCGACCTCCTCCTCGGGGTTGTGCGCCCACACGGCGAGGTGGTCACCATGCTGGTACGAGATGCCAGAGCCTTCAATGTCGAACTCGACGTGGACGCAAGTGCGATCGGCGGTGCCCTCGACAAACAGCTCGCGGGCTTCCTTGACCACCGAATTGTACGGGTTCTTTGCGTCGTGGATGCCCTTGGTACCGAGCAGTGCTCGTGCAGACAACTCTCCGTGGTAAACCTTGTCTTCGGGGTGATCAGCAAGTTCGGTCACCTTGAAGTCAGCAACGTCGCCCCCTCCGCCTTCCTCAAAGTTGAGCTGAGTGGCGAGAGCCTCAAACATGGAATCTTTCCAAGCCAGATAGTCCTCTTCCATGCTCTTATCGTCGTCACCCTCGCCAAACTCGCCGATGCGCTTGGCACCGAGCGACTGGAGACGAGAATCGAGCTTGCGAGCAACAGCATTAAAGTGTTCGTAGGTGCGGTTGCCGAGACCAAAGACGACGTAGTTGAGGTTGTCGAGCTGTTGACTGCCTTGGGAGAATTCGGGCGTGTCATTTTCGATAAACTCCATGAGACCGACAGCGTTGTCGGTGGGCTCACCTTCACCGTAGGTGGCCATGACAAAGACGGCGACGCAATCTTGGGGCATCTGGTCAAGCTTGTCGAATTCGTGCTCTTCGGGGTCGAGGACGAGCGAAGAGGTACCGAAACGAGACTTTGCTTCCTTTGCGAGCTTGGTAGCATACTCCTCGGCAGTACCTGTTTGGGAACCGTAAAAGATGGCAATGCGCTTGTTCTGAGACTTTAGCTTGGAGATAAAGTCTGCACCACCCTCATCGGTGGTTGCGAGGGCGGCACCATTGGCAAGTTTTGAACCAGTGTCCTTGGCGCCACCAAAGAGGGTGTCTCGGAAGAGGTAGAGGACGGCAATCAGACCGCCCAGACCGAGGACGATCAAGTCGAGTTGCGAAGCCATTTTGACGGGAATGGACAAGTGCTAGCTGCGCTTGTTCTGGTAATAGGCGGTTGGAGGAATGAAATGTTGTGGGTGAAGATGGTGTGTGTACAAGAGTGGTTAGGTGACCAACGTGTTGATCATAAATATGGTGCAAGTTCAATTGGCTAGAGCAAGTAAAGATTGTCACACGGTAAAGAGTGTGAAAGAATGAATATGAATATTATTAGTGTTTTTGATAGAAAATTGGATTGGCCAAAATGTATTATTATTGAGCAGCGCGATTCGCTTCGGTTGTCTGTGTGATGAGTGCGCGTGTGTGCTCAAAACTTGTGTGGAAGAATGTGCGTATGAAATGTATCCTCTCAGCTAATTTTCGCCGCGTTTTCCTCGGAAAACATGAATCGCTGTGTGTCACAGAGTCACTCGCCACGGGAATTGAGGGGCAATGAAAAAGAAAGATTCGGCTTGGCTAAGCTTTTTGCCACGTAGCTCGGCTCATTTCCCAATTTCGAGACGCTGTGGCGGTGACCGATTCCCAATTACTATTACCTCAACTCACGCTCCAAATTTGATGCTGGCATCGCGTCTCCCAAACCTCGGTCACCACCACCGAGTTGCGATTGCTTCATGCTACAGTATCAAAGCGATTCTGACTTATTATCTGATCAAAATACACAGTCTTTTCGAATGCTGGCCTCGAATGCTGGCCGTGACGAGCAAGATTTCTGCGCCAGAGTGTATTCAGTGACTCTCTGATCAGGAGCATTTGATTGCCACACACATCTGACCTGTTGCAACTCGCTCGGTTTCTTGGTCTCTATCAACACATTGCCGGGCTTGGCTCTGTGGGGCTCCAGTGCGCTCGAGGATATCACGGCCCGATCTTATGTTGTAGAACATTGTGTTCAATGTGAATTTACATCTCCTCAAGTCGCTTTCTCTCCCACCGAAGCGTCAGAGGTTACGTCCAATGAGCTCGGAGGATCCGTATCACACATTCCTTTCTGTTCTGCACTCTATTGAACAACTGTATGATTTGTCTTTTCGGGATTCACGGCGAGCATTGTGATAGTATTGCGGGCGAGAGTGTGGTGAGGCGGCAAATAGGCTGGAGACAATCGAGGCTCAACTTTTTTTGCTGTAGTTTAAATTGAAAGTAAATTGTACTGTACCTTTTTTGTAGTACCATAAAGCCATAATTGGCGAGCGTGACAATCTGGTATTCACGTAATCTTCAAAGCTCCATCTTCCTAACACAATTAAACCGGAGCGTTCCATATTGAGAAGTCGTCGTCATTAGCACATCTCTACCTGCCAACATATCCATTATCAAAAGCTCACTGACTGACTGAGCCCAAGACCCAAAGAAGCGGAATCATGTAAATCTTCCTTCGAGAGGTCAAGAGAGTAGTCTTGTCAACCCGACCTTTTCCGTCTTCTATGACACGAAGCATTGATCATGGAGCCCCACAAACCTGGTGGCGTGGTCGGATGACATGGTGCCTCCTTCGTCATCGGCTACAATTTGACTTGCTGTCAGTATGGATGCATTTCGGCTGCATCATCCCGCTGCACTCTCAATTGGTCACCATTCAATACACCGCACTAAAATGCCCGGTGTGGACAATTTGCTCCACCCGCCACTTTGAGCCTGCCAACCCCCTCTCTCGTTTTCGCTGTTCAATCATCCTACACGTTTCCGCCTCTCGCTCCATAATCCGCCTCTGAGAATTTAATCCACTCTTCTCCAGCTGCGAGACAGCTCCCGTGCCCGCAAAGTCTTCCTTTGTGCCCTTCCTCTCGGTTATTCACACAGCAAGCGTGACTGCCAGCAGATTTTTTATAACCATTGGGACTCAACACTTGAGTGTAATAATAGCCAGCTCCTCGTTCGTTTTCTGATATGCGGTCATAGTGTAGTGGCTATCACGTCTCTTTCCCATATCAACATCGCTCATGTGATTGTATGGTGACAAGAGGAGGGCGCGGGTTCGAACCCCGCTGGTCGCAACCATGAATTTTTGTTTCTTCCTTCTTTGCGGAAAATTCGTAGAAATGCACACATTGTCTGGTAACCCATTTGATTTCAGAAGGTTATTTTACGATCCCCCTAGATTGTGCAAGGACTTTTGATGAATCATCCGCCAAGTGATCGGGTCGAGCGATGATAGAGTACTGATACAGTAGCCAAGCATGCATGTTTGTTATTCCATAGGATGAATTGTACATAAGAACACGTCTGGCATAGCAGTGATACAAAGCAAGTACACAAACCACTTTTGGACGGGCGACTAAACTCCAAAGTAGACAGCAGCCACAGCCTTGGCGATTCTATCTGCATTTGACATTCTCGCTCTCCTCCCGCTTGCAATCTCATCAGGCGTTTGAGCTTGGATCCTCGTGCCGATGGAAGCGTACACCGAACAGGCCGCTTTCAAACCTGCCCTTGCAGATCGATTCGGGATCTGACCCAGCGCAGGATACGATTCGTCATACAGCGCTTTCGAGATTTGCAGCAACCTCAACGCGTACTTTCGCACCTCTTGCGGTCCTACCCACTTTTGCTTCGAGCCAGTCTCAGTCGTTGCAGAAACAATCGCAGATTTAGGCACATTGATAAAACCACGTAGCAGAGCAATTTGCATGTGGTCATCCTCTGTGTCAAACATTTCTGTTGGTAGATAGCAACGACCCAAATCAACCGAATCCGGAATCATATCGCGCGCAATATTGACCAACTGCAAACTCACACCCATCCGTCTTGCTTGGTGCAAAAGTGTGTGCACATCTGCTTTTTGCGACAAATCAAGCGGTTGCGAAGTGATGCTGTGCTGCAATGCTTTCTCGGTAGACACAGATGCTTTTGTTGTGGTGTGCAACTGAATTTTTCTATCCACCTCCAAATCGAGCGGCACGACAAACCCACATCGTCCCAAAATCACTCGCGTACACATCTCCCCCACCACCCCTGCCACACACTGCGAGTACTCCACCAATTCGTCCATCCCCTTGAATTGCGTCCGCTTGTCCTCATCCGCATGCTCAAATCGCAGATCCGTGCGATAACCATCCAGCATCTCGTACCAGAGTCGTCGAGGAATGTATACCGTGAGCGGTGCTATCGAAGCGGCTGCTGCTCGAACGTTGTGCTTGATCTTGTCAGATAGTGCAACTGATGAGAGCATGTTGCGGATGCGTTCGCCGATCGACATTGCGACATGCTGTGTTGCCTTTTCTTGCTTGCTGTCAGTGTGAGCGTAGATGGCATCCACAATGGCGCGAATCACCTCAAGATTTCGCGACTTGGCGTCCAATCCTTCCGCCTCGTCGTCCACCAAGTCGTCGGCCACCCTGCAAAACGCATACAGACACCCAAGATCTGTCCTCAGATCCCAGGGCAGCAACAAGCTCGCCGCATTAAACGACTTGGATGCGGCACTGAGCACCTTCAAGCTCGCCTCAAGATCGCGTGGCTCAACACTCGCCCAAGGTGAACTTGTGGCGAAAGGCTCGGTGTCCGACGTGACAAAAGCAGCCCAAAGCTTGGTATACGTGCTAAATGAATCGAGAGGGAGGTAGCTCGGCGACAAAGGCGGCGAATCAGCAGAGGCGGTCTGTCTGCAGATGGCGACGCAGCGATCAAAAGTGAAGCAAGCGCTGATGAGGATGAGATTGGTGACCAAGAAGAACAGCATCTCTTCAACAGGCAAGTCGGGGATCGGAAACATGTTGAGCGAGGTGGCTTCGTTGATGTGCCAGGTTCCTCTGCGAAGTGCATAGACGTCGGAGCACCAGAGGTACAAGGTGGGACCGAGGACGGAGAGCGAGAAAGGCACGATTCCTGCCCAGATGCCAGTGTTGCGGATAAAGTCGATGCATCCCCACAGTAACAGGGCTAGGGGCAAGGATGCCCACCATGTGATCATGCCAAAGTAGTAAGAATGGGTTTCGGGCACAGCCATGTTGAGGCCGATCATCAAGCAAAGCAAGCTCGTCACAAGTGCTGGCGTGGCGAGCTTGATTCGAGAGGGTGAAGCTGGCGCGAGCGAAAGATTGGGCAGATACCATCGTGTGAGAAGAGTACACCATAGCGTCGAGATGAGGCTCTGGATGACGAAAAAAAAGTACTCCTCAATGGGTACGTAGCCGATGGTGAACCAGATGCAGTGACCATGATAGAACCACGCGCGATTTTTGACGATGAGGTTGTCCCAAGGTGATGTCCACACAAACGCGATGACGGGGAGTAGGATGAGTTTGGCACGGTCGAGTTTTGTGAGAAAGGGTTTGGCGATGAGGTAGAGTACGATGCAGAGAGGCAGCGTCCACATCAAATGAAAGTGACGGTAGCTAAGGGTGCACGCCGGCATTTGAGGGCTGGATTCGTAGAGGTGACCCATGGCTGGCAATGTCGCTTCAACTCAGCTAGACAGTGACTGCTGTGTTTAGGGTTACAGCACTCAGTGACCGCAAGAAAGTTGATCTCGGAACTGGCAAAAAGTGAGGTTCGGCCAGATGTCGCGGCAAGATTCAAAGTAGGAGCGATTGGTTAGAGACGAAGCATGTTGAGCTTCCAACCTGTTTTGCGATTGCGGTGGAAGTTGGTGCGGTTGAACGGAGGAAAGCCAAGCCGCCGGTTAGAAGTGTGGCAGGACCCAAGATAGTACGCAGAATGTACCAGGTGTTAGTAGCTTGTCTGGCTCGTCCACTTGCGCCAAGTTTTGCCAGATCAATCGTGTGTCAAGAGCCAAAATTGGTGTTGACGAAGGGTGTCAAACCGATTGTTGAGATCGTCTATTGAGATGGTGGAGCTGGTTCACACTTTGGCATCCGTCACCATTTCGGCAATGCTCTGTCTCCAGTGAGTTTGCAGTGTTTACCGTATTTACATGGGAGGATGCAGGTCCAAGTAACTTGAGTGCAAAATTCATTTTCGCAGACAGTACGTGACCATCGGGCGTCAGAAGTAGAAGCAGAAGCAGAAGCAGAGACGTCTGGCTGGCTGTGCTGCACAGCATGTGTTTTTGCTGTTTTGTGATGCGGAGGAGGAAATCGGCCGATCTTGTCTCGGCAGGCTCAGAGCAAGGGTCCGAGAAAAGTATTCAATCCAAACGAGATGCGTGAGAAGCATAGCATGCCTTAGGTTAGGCGGAAGCTTTTTGTCAAATGAAAGTGAATTTGAGAGCAAGAGTGTGGATTCCAAGCGTGTATTCGACGGATTCGTCTTTGCTGCTGATAAATTACCTCGAGACGCGCCGCCAAAGGAAAATGAAAATGAAAAAATCCTCACCCAAAAAAAAAAGAAAAAAGAAAACCAAGCTTGTTTGGCGCTGTGACGCTTAGGTACAACAAACATATTCCTCAACGGAAAAGCCGAGCTCACTTCTTTATTATGGTCAGCTCGATGCGGGACCCGATCACAACCTGGATCATGCAGCACTTTGCATATCGATTGGCCATTCCATACAGTCCACGTTCTCTCGTCTCATATTATTCATAGTTCTACCGCACACCAACGCATGCGTGTCTAATTAGGTAAGACGACCAATCTTTCGTACCCGATAAGACTTCGGGAGGAGTTGGACGATAAGCTCCCGTAGCGGTCTTTACGCATGACTAGACCCTTGAGACGATCCTGCGCTGATTCATACTAACTTACACCCCAAAGTCACACGCATGGCCTCAAATGTGACTAAACACGGTGAGCATCCGAGATTGGCCGTGAAATGCTATATTTTGTGCCTGCAGATGGAATTTCAGCATGAAGCACCTTTTGATGTAGAGCATGTTTACAAAGATCGGATCGACTTTCCCAACCCTAGTTCTCCGATATCACAGGGACAGTGTGGGGTCAACGCTATGAGTGAAAGGGCGATCATCTGTTTGATATCAAGCTTCAGCATAAAGTCTTGCTATTGTAGTGACATAAGAGGGTAGGCTAGATTGGGAGCATCACTTTATGTACATGCAAAGTCCAAGCACAAAAGGTCCAGTCCGAATTCTAGAGCTGGGCACCCTGTCAATTTAGGTGCATCTCCATCAAATCTGTTCGCCGTTAATTTGCAGCCAAAGATGTCTCGGACAAAGCCAGCACCTGGAGCCTCTCAGTAAATAGCAAAGCCCTTGAACCATACTCCGATTCGACCACCTGTCACATTTACGACAGCGTTTACATAATCATACCCCGACCCTTTGCCGAACACACACACACACACACACACACACACACACACACACACAAACACACAAACATTCTCCCTCTACATGTTTCAAACCCCAAAGCGACGGGCTCGGGCAAGAAACAGCGACCATATCGGTTCAATCAATTAATGATTCACACAGTCGATATCGCACTCGCTGCTCGGTATCTTTGAACGTACACTATAAGAAGGAGACTTAGATGATAACCAATGGGAGCATGTATGCAAGCTCACTGTCTCAGGACGGGACTCAGTGCATGAGATTTTAGATTGTGATCGTAAGCGTCGGATACGGTATCTTATTCATAGTATCTCGATACTGCAGCAATACCGTTTTACCGTTTTTGCTGCGACAAATTTCATTGCAAGTCAAGGCGAATAGGTGAATACAAATCGATAATCGAATGTGGGCCGATGTGTTTCTGGCGCCTTACCAGACACTCAGCCGTGCCAAGCGCGGATGCGCTTCGATGGACCGAAATGTGCCCTCGAGATTTGCGCAGCAGAAGAGGCTTGTCTCACAGTTGAAGAGCGCAGAAAACGTGACTTGCGGCCATTTCCCGAGCGTGAGTTTCAACAAACAAACGGCGAAAGGAAGCTTTTCATCTGATGATCTTGTAAATGCTTCAATCCAGCATAAGAAAAGTATATAGGAAAGTATAACTTAGGTTCGATTCGATGTCCAAGATGCAGGCCACAAACGGTCTCGCAGAGAATAAATACAAACCACGTCGAAAAGTATCAGCATCAGCAGCGGAGAAGTGAGGGCAGCAAAATCTGGGACCCTGTTGATCAGAGGAAAAAAAAAAG